TCTCTTCAAATTTTAAAAATATACACTAGTTGGTCTATAAAAAGTAAAATTATATGTTATAATTTTGCACTCGACAATGTAACTGTTACATATAACACCATGTATTCTATTACATTTATGAATGCTTTCCAGCGAGAGACACAGATGAGATACAGTATATGTATAAAATACAGTGAATCATCACATCTTTGATGTTTGTCAATGTTAAACAAAGATGAAACGATTACAGTATTGCAATGTGTTTCTTGATGGATAAGCAAGCACTATATATATTGTTGAATGCAAAATTATTACATAAATAAAATACACAAATGAAATACATTTTATGTTACTTTTTAATTAGTATCAACCTGGGATTATGACACACTCACATCAAGGATATACAAAGCTGTGAAATCCACATGTCTTGAGACTTAAAATCTGAGTTTGCTTTAATTTCAATGCGTTCCATTCAAATGTGATCGAAATCGAGTTGATCGTGTTCCCCAAGGAACGCGAAGTCAAGAGAAAATCGAAATGATTTCATTTTGACATCATAAAAGCTGAAATGATTTTTATTGACGTTAAAAATCAAAATAAAATCATTTTCATTTTTTGTGTCGATTTTATCTCTTGAGTCGTCGTGAATTTTATTATCAAGGATTTTGTTTGCGCGTAAAAAAAAAAAAAATCTAAGGACGATTTATTTCGGGCATCGACGCCGTCAGGACTACGCGTGCAGAATACACGATCGATCGATTCCATCGTGTCCCGGTATCGATCGTTCGTTCACGCGTGTGCACGTGCGGTCGATAGGAATTAATCACTTCTCATGCTCCGCGCGCATGGTGCGTCGCTTCATCGGTTTTTCCCAGGACGACGCGATTTCCGAACCGATACCTCTTCTTCCTCGTAAATAAGATCCGGCACGGTGGAAGGGAACGACGAATAATTTCACCAGATGAATACTGAAACGTCGCACCTCTACAATCGGCGTAGCCCGGCCCTCGGCGAGTATATATACTCCTCATGACGAGAATACCACTTACGAGCGACCGTGAGACCACAAAGAGAGAAAAAGGAAACAGAAGTTCGGAGTCACGTCTTTCCCCGACACGCGCACCTGTCCCGAAAAGTAATCAAATGATTTTTCCGATTTGTCCCCAGGGAACGATACTCCTTTATATCGGTGACCGTAAATCACGCCGTAGTGTCATGAAACCGGCAGGCTATAAAACGAATCCCGGTTTCTTCGCACTTGGCGATCCTTCCGGGAAGGAAAAAAAAAAACTAGTTTCGGAGGAGCCAATTGATTCCCGTTGGCGGGAATTGATTCGACGATGGAATTGACTGACGATGAACGCATCGATCTCGATCATATCATAAGATGAAGTCAACAAATATAAACTTTAAATAATTGTAAACGAAAATCTGGCAATGGCTCAATGGATTTCCAGCGTTTGATCGATTCCTTTATATACTCGGTATATTTGAAGGGCGTTGTGCTTTGGACCATTGTTTGTTGACTTTATTTAATTCAAGACGATTAAAATCCTTATTGTCGAAAATCACAATACTCGCTTTCTCTGACGTCAAATAATTCAAACATTGTATATCTCTTTTGTATTATACTCGAAACAAAGCTATATAATCGCGCGACAGATACTTCTAAACAAATTCATTATATAAATCTCTGTATCATCTTCACCGGAAAATCTAAAATGACTCCCAAATATAAGTAGCGCTCTTGTGAGTGTAAAAGTGAAATGCGATCGTATTATAAAAAAAAATGTATTTCACTCTGTGAATAGCACATTAAAGTGTATTAAAAAATCTGCGATTTAATCCGTTTTATATTTATATTAAACACACATCTTTACGTCGATTTGATGTGTACGGTTTTAATGTACGCAAAAACGTCTAATTGAATTCTTTAAAGTTTTATTAATCCACTAATTCAAGCAAGTTTCGCGTGTCATTCCTCGTTTCAGTCATTTTCGTATCGATCGATGTCCAATCCCGTAAAGAATAAGGATCGGTAACCATCACTCTCACACGCGAAGTATAGCGTTTCAATGTCAGCCACAGGAAGTAACTCGATACAGTTGGCTTCTGAACACGTGCGGATGATGCTTAAGCGGAATATATTGGTCGCCGACCGGATGGGATTCGCACGATTAAGCGTTAAGATCGGCTTCGACGATATCGACGATATTGGTACGAGCCAAGTATATAAAATATATACCTTGACGAATGAATGCAACACATTTCACGAGTGATTGAACTCAACGATGATTTATTATAACTTAAAAATATATTTAAATATATATGATTTATTAATCAATTAAAAAAAAAAAAAAAAAATAACGAGCTGTTTATACGATATTGATGTCGAAGTAAGCGAGGCATCACTGCTCCAGTGGAAGGTTGAGGATCAGCATGAGAACCACTAGGGAGCAGAAGGGCGCGTGCCAAGGGTTTCACATCTGCCGCAGTTGGTTTTACATCCCTACGTTCCTTTTTGGAAAGGGCAGACCGCCACCATCGTCAGCATCGTCGTCTCACGTGTGTGAGTCTCTAGTTACAGAAAAAAAGAAAAGAAAGAGGGAGAGACGTTTCCGCAGGAAGCACCACAAGGATCCCTCTTTCGTCCCTTATTTAACGTTCTCGTGAACGCGCGGGCGAACCGCGCAGCGATGGATAATCGTATGTGCGAGTCATATGCAATTATTGCGCTCGAAGGATCAGAGCAAGCGAGGTTGGTCTTTTCTTTTACCTCACATCGCGATCACTATGATTTCGTATTGCCAACAATTTACTCTTCTAGAATCCCTGTGTTACAACCGAAGTACGTATTCTCGAGTCTCTCGAAGGCGAATTACGCGAGACGCGGTTAAGTGAACGCTGCGATTACTTATTAGTTGCACGTATAAATCACTAAGTCGCAAAAACACGAATTGATCCTTGAAAAACGTCGCAAAAACTCACGGATGCGACAAATGAGAAATCGAAAGGAAAAATGCGATGAGTTATTTAGCTAAATAGTTTGTTCCGGTATAAAGTTCCATAATTTACATTTCCTTGCTATTTCTTTCCGCTGTCTCTAAAGATGAGATATTAAATTAACACTTGATATACATGATTGGGTCGTGTCATGCCCATTTCTTTTCTTGAAATACTAGGACCTAAGTAAACAATGA